AAGTCCCGGAGTCAGCATTTAAGAGAACACTCATCTACTCCCTAAAGTCGGGGAGGAGTGAATTCCATCTTGTGAAGTTATGTTCCCAGCTCCCCAATCGGTCTTATCCCTAAAATGGTAGGAATATTGAGTCGGCGTTTCAGGCCACTCTCATCTATACAGATCAAAGGACGAGCCCTCACGGGCAGGAGTCCATAACTCACTCAAGATTGAGAATGAGTTGTCTGATCATCCTAAGAAATAGCAATATGTTAGTTATCGATATTACATCTAAAGATTGGCTATTTTGCAGTCCGATCTTATACAAACTCATTGTATAGGATACACCACTCGCATGTCTTCACATGAACGACCTGGATCGAGTCGTATGTAACATTTACAAAATGGGTCGTATCCATAGTGTTGTCAGGATAAAGTACCCAACCTCTTATCCATATACTATAGACCCTTTAGGTTATTCACGAGACATTATTCACTCGTATATCAGGGGTATATCAAATATATACCTAGTATATCAAATATATACCCAGTATATATACTGTCCCGGTTACTTGATAATAACCTTGGATGTTTAGTTTATTGGATTTGGGACAATGCAATGCTATGAATTCAACAACAAATTTATTGAATAAAACTTTATTGAATATACATTTGTGTTTACATAAATACAAACTACGAGTTTAGAGCAACACACCCAACAGAAAATGCCCTTAATTAAAACAAACGTTTTAATTAATTTGAAGCATTCTGTTTTACCTTTGGTTACACACACATATATCCATGCATGCGAATAGGCATATTAAATAACAGAATGAGTCAAAGAAGTTAGGAAGTAATGGTTCACCACTTTCCTCTCAACTTCTCATCAACCTTGGAGTTATTTATATAATCCAGCATCTCCCTCACTCATTCCATCATCCAAAGTGATCATTCCAGAGCTTTCTACATTTCGTTCTCAGCCTAGTTCTTCTTTACTTATTTTTCTAGTTTGTTAGTTGTTCAAACTTAGTCTTTTTTAAGTTTTTACTTAGTTAAAACAAATTTAGCATCATATTCTTTCATTTGTAAGTTTAAGCTGTTCGGTTTGTAGGAAGTGCAAACAAAGTCCCACATTGGACAGGGAAGGGATTAATCCATGGTATATAAGAGAGAACAATTATCTCTATTGGTATGAGACCTTTTGGGTGGAACCAAAAGTAAAGTCATGAGGGATATGCCCAAATCGGACAATATCATATATCATTGTGGAGATACTCAGGGTACTTGGAGTACAATTATCCTTAACAAGTTGTATTAGAGCCATGGTAAAAAAACTAGTTGTGTGGGAGGAATCCTCAGGGACCGAACAAGAGTGATTGGTAAGCCTAATAGTCATTACGAAACTGTGGACAAAGATGAGTGTCGAGGCTTCAGGTACAAAGGTCGAGGGTGGATGCGATGGGTCTTAGAGGTAAGGCAAGTATTGAGACCTTGAATAGATGGTCAAGGGTCGAAGCAATTGTTCGAGGCCTTGGGTACAAGGGTCAAGGAATCGAACGCCAAACGCTGTAGAGAAGTGTCGAAACCCTGGGTACAAAGGTCAGGGGTCGATACGACTCGATGGAATAAGTCTTAGAGGAATAGGAAAGAGAACTAATGAGTTTAGAGAAGGGTCGATGCCTTGGCTATGCGTGGTCAGGGGTCGGTGCAATAGTTCGAGGCCTCGAATACAAAGGTCAAGGGTCGAACATCAAGTGTCGTAGAGAAGTATCAAGGCCCTGGGTACAAAGCTCAGGGGTCGATACGACTCAAAGGAGTAAGTCTTTGAGAAACAGGAAAACAAACTAGTGAATTGAGATGCGAGGATGAGTTTGACATGTAGGTTGCATGTTCAGATATGTTTATATTTCTACTATGTAAAGCATGATGATTTCTTATGCATGTCGTTTGAACTTTCTGTGATAAGCATGTTGTTTGTGCGTGACCCTTCAAGTATGTACTGCTTACTGGGTATCGTGATTGTACTCACCCCTTATTGGATTACTCTTTGCAATGGTGGTGGTGAGGAGGAGGCTTGACCGGAAAGACCATTAGTTGTGCTGCGTGCATTTAACTTCTTTTAGTTAGGATAGTTGCAGTTATTCCATCTTGTAGTTGAATTGTTAATGGTTGGTTCTGTTCAGTTTTATGGGTTAAAAGATGTTTTAAGTTGTCAGCTCACTACTCTTTGGGATTACTAGTTTTGTTTAGCTTTTCGAACGGTGTGATTGTAATCTATTACGAATAATTATTAATACATTTAGTCATGTTGATATTCAATTAGCTTTTGCTTCGTTGTCGTTCGAGATCTTAATATTCGTTTAGTGGAGAGTTTATGGTTGGTAAAGTTTTCTTTGAGAAGTTTGGATAAGGTGAAGTTCTTATTAGATGGATTATCTATAAAGGATTTGAGTTTTGGCTAAATCTTGAGTGTTGTTGGTTAGTTTGTTTAAACAATTGTAATTGTTATTAAACAGAGTAGCGCAGTAGAAGCGTGGTGAGAATTTGTCGTGGTTTTAATTCTCTAGTATAAGTGGTGCTTTTTTTTTAGGTGGTTTTAGTAACGGTCCATGTTTGAAATGTTGAAAATCGTAGGGTGTTACATAAAACATGCCATAGAGGGCGTTCGATGTTCGTGAATAGAATTGTCTGTCCAATTAATAGGCTTATCCCTTCCAAGAGTCAGGTGACCTACAAAACAGAGGTGAGCACTCTGATGTCTAAGTTAGTATTGGCCAGAGAATGTGTGTAGTATAATCAAAAAGATTCGAACATACTTGGATAACAGAATACACACTCTTCTTATAGGTGAATGAAGTCAAATTGGTTAGTAAGGAACGCCAAGATTTCCTCTGCTCATTCCGGTCATTGCCAGACTGGTGATGGGCACTGATCACACTGAGTCAAGTCCACTCATTACGCGCATTGATGGCGGTAATAATAGAGAAAGGTCAGCCTGGCTCGTCCCTCACGAATCTGCTGACGTCACCAAGTTGATGCACCTCAAACGTTGGTGTGCCTTCCTTGCTATTCAATATCTGACGACTTGTTTTCCCCCCATAACAATCTTGATAATAATAGAGTACAAATTTCAAATTACAATGTTTTCAATATTTAAATTTCTCAACATCATTGTCAAAGATGTTGAAATATTTCAAAAAACCATTTTAAAAAAAGTAATCCATATTTGACGATATTTGAGAACAATCTTTATCTCGATTTTTTCTTTCTTAAAATTATTTCAATCCATTTACAACTTTATTTAACTCCCAAATTATTTTAAACACTTAACCCTATCTTTGGAATATCAAGAAAGTTAAAATCTTAAAAAATAAAAAATAAAAAACAATGATTCTATATTCAATATAGTTTGAAACTCAAAAGATTAGAAAAGAATGTAATTAAAATCTTTAATTTACATGTCTGCTAGGAAAAAAACAAAAAAAAAATAATAATAAATTTACTTTTCAATCTTAATTTTCATATATAAATTAACTACGGCAAAGATAAATAAGTAATTCACTTCACCATTTTGTTAAATCTGGTAAAATTTGACCATCTTAGTTTTTTAGAATTTTTCAAATAAAATTAGGTTTTGAATCAATATAATTCAATGAATAAAAATACAAATGAATTATCATGAATTCCAATACCGATAATTTAACAATGATTGGATGCAAATCCGAAATTTGTTTCAACGATGTAAAATGATCCGCCACATTGTTTCACTTTATCCCGATAATTCTTTTTTTCCTTTGAAAAAAAATAAAATAAAAACAAAAAATCTTATATATATATATATAAAAAAAAAAGTACTAGCTCATTTGTAGTACACACGCATTTGTTAGTACAATCTGGCTTCAATATTTGATTGGCTTCTGAGAAAAGAAAAAAGAGGACCTTATTTTTTTCCTGAGAAAATGGAAACCCACGTGACATTTTACTGGGGAAAGACGGGGGAGATTCTCTTCTCCGGCTGGCCCGGCGCCGGCCGGAGTTTATTCTCTTACACAGTTGCCTTATTCTTCGTCTTTCTTCTCGCCTTCACGGTGGAGTGGCTGTCGCACGCCAGGCTCACCGCCTCCGCCGCGAACGACGTCGCTGCCGGCATGGTTCAGACCGCCATGTACGGCGTCCGGGTGGGGCTGGCCTTTGTTGTCATGCTGGCCGTCATGTCGTTTAACGTCGGAGTTTTGCTCGCCGCGGTGGCTGGATATTCAGTCGGGTTCTTGCTTTATGGGAGTCGGGTTTTTAGCGGGTCGAAGATTAACCCGAGCTTGGATCCATCTGTTTCTGATCTTCCACCTCTCAACTGTTAAGGTTTCTTAGATTATTGAGTATTCAGTTGATAACTTATTAGCAATAAAACTGTTTGCTTAAGTTTCTTTATTTCGTTTTAGGTGTAGTGTAATCATCTCAATTTTTGGTTTTGATTGTTACAGTCGGTTGATAATTCTAGTTTAGATTCAGTTCTTAAATTTGAAAAAGAAAAAACTTAAAAACTTGTGTTTCAAAATCCTTTTTATTTTGTTTGCAATCCTCCTCACAACCCTAGGAATGGAAATAAGAAACAATAAAATGATGAAACCAATCAAAGTCGACCAAATCAATGTTCTTTTGTCCTTTAATCGATATCCACTAAACCCAGACTATATTTGAAGGGATTTTTGGAGAAGAAAGTCGTACAGCACAGAATTTTTAACCTCAAATTCAAAATGTTTTCATGGCTCTTATATTCTAAAGAGCCAAGAAAAGTGAAGAGAAATATCATTCTATCGGTAAGCTTGGTGGGCGTATGCTATGAAAACAAGGTGGAACCGGAAGAGATTTTTGTCATAATATCATCAAGTTGGTTCTCTAAGGATACAAGTCGAATAAATAGCTGTTTGCAAAGTACGCTCTTAGAATCATGATGATCAATTTCGATATGTTTAGAGCGCTTGTGCAAAATAGGATTTGCACAACATAATTGAACGTACCAACTTTTGAAATGACTGACTGAAGCCAAATAAGTTCAGCTATGACATTAGATATTCCTCAATATTTGGATTATGCAAAACTACTTTTTGCATAGATGAAGACGATGATACCAAATTATTTTTAAGAAACACACAAAAGCCACTAGTACTCTGTCTCCCAGTTGGGCAATTTGCCCGTACAATAAACATCTTTATAATAAGTCCGTATAACTTAATGTGAAAAACTATAAAAGTTACTCCAAGTTGGGATGTATGCCTTAAACTCGTGATATTAGAACAACTAATTAGATGTAAATAAAATAAAGTTAATAATTGGATGAGCAGTTTGTCGAGATTGACATTCAATGGTTAATCGCTCCTAAAACTACCAAATGTATTTTATCAAACTTGGTATGTAACGGATATACGAGAAGATCAAGTATGAGAGTAGTAGCTTAAATGGTCTAGATACAGATAGGGTTGAAGATTTTATCCTGGAGACACTATTGATATGATCTATTTTGTAACAGTTACAAAATAATTTGATTCGTATCATTCATGTGAAGACATGTGAGTAATTGCATCATATATATAATAGGGATTGCATAAGAATGGATTAGGACGTGTCTAACACGTTCTAATAAGACTATTAAATAAAATGTAGACACATTACTATGATAATCATAGACTCATTTGGTCTGAGTCTTAAGTGTGCTGTGTGTTGTAATTTACGTCCTAAATATTAATAAATATTTTATTATTTATTAAACAAATAATTATTTGATTATTTTGATTGTATGCAATACTATTATTCATTATTCTCAAATAAGGTTACAAAATGTAATCTTGAAGAGTATGTATTTGACATATATAAGAGAATCATGTTGAAGTTATAACCTAAAGAGTTTATATAATATATGGATAAGGTTGCTGCGTGTCTTATCTTGATAACATTATTGATGCAGCCCACTTTATAAATGTTATAGATAATTTGATCCAAATTGTTCATGTGGAGACATGTGAGTGGAGATGTTATATACAATGAATTTGTATAAGACTGAACTACGAAATATTTAATATTTTGTTGTAAATACGTTAAAATATAAGACAAGTATTTCACAAGATGATCATGTGTGACTCAATCTCAACCCATAGCGATTTATGAACTTTTGCCTCGAAGGGCATGTTCTTTGATTTACAAAAGAGATAGTGGTTTGATAGCGACTCAAATAAGCCTACTATTTTGGGACGTGACAAAAAAAAGACTTAGAAACATAATCTCACAAGATGGAATTCACTCCCTTATCATTATAGGGTAAATAGATGAGTATGTAGTTCTCTTAAGTGCTAATTTATCGGGACTTGAACAATGGTTAGATCATAAACAAATTTTTTATGAGATTCGCAATAGTACTTAAGGTATAAGATATAAGTACAGGGATAAAACGAGTTTTGACCCAACTGTAATGTCAAACAATTCATGAAGTATTGACTTACCGGTAGTGATTATATATGTGGACATAACCTATCCTACAATGCATAAGAGTGCAACTTTAGGTTTATGGTGGAGTAAACCTAGTGTTAATGAATGAAAATTGATTAATTAATTAATTTTGTATCCTTGGGAGTTATAAACTAGAGGCTGATAAAGTTCCTTGCTAACAACCTATAATAGATCAGTTGAAAGAAAATTGATTTCCAAAATGTTCAAATTCATATTTAATAATGTATTTAGATGGATTAAACAATAAATGAAATAACAATTAATGTATTTAGATGAATTAAAAGAACATATTATATTTTATTAATATAAAATATATACTAATAAGGGATTGGATCCCAATTGTGTGTTTTTTGAAAATTTTTTTATTTCTTTTTAATTAAATTGTGTCCTTGGATCTGCTAAATCGATTCTTAATGACAGCTTCCACGGAACCAATAGCCGGATCACATCATCAAGTGTGTTAGTACCTTTTAAATATCGACAATTCGTTTGACCGCAAGCCAGCGCACTGTAGTGGGAGCATGAATAAATTGGTAAATTTTATTAACACTCAAGCTTGAGTCAGTGGTGCAGTATTGAAGATCACCAACAATGCTTCGATATAAAGAGAGATCATGAAAGAGCTCACCATCTGTAATAGATAACGTTTTCCCAGTCATCATTGAAGTACTAATATCCTTACGGTTACCATATCGGCACGATGGAAAAGGGTAAGCAAAATACTTGCTTTGTAACATATGTAATGATTCCATATTTCTATGAATTTGAATGTCCAAAAAATAAGACAATGTTCTTACCGAAAATGTCCCAATAATCACAATAGAATCTTCGAGAACACTCCAAAATTGTATCATACAAAATAAAGTTAGCACTTCGAAGTTAAATTTTTCGACGTACATGTACCCTTCTTCTCGCTGGGTATTTATAGTGCTTAGGTAAATAGCCTGTTGGGGGCAGGTTGGCTGGCGGTCAAAGCCCATTGTCCATTCCAGTTTCGCTGGAGCATTAGGCGCATACGTGTGAGCGAAAAGCGGGCATACTGTTTGGGTGTCTGATCGTGGGAGATGAGTTCGACCAGGTGCTGCCCAGACTATCATCTGCTTGGGGGGTCGAACTGGACATCATCCACCTCGTGCGTCACACGTACGGGCCTAGATGACGTGGATTTTGGATGAGGTGGATGGGGCCGATAAAACTGGCATCATCAGACAAGTCTCCAAAATCCTTTAGTGAATTAAGAGAGGCTATAAACTACTATATAAATGAGAAGTTGTTCTCACTAATTAAAATATCATCCACACATATATCAAGATGATGACAATAACTGAATGCTTATGGTAAATAAACATATCTATCTTTCAAGCTCTAAAATTCCAACAAAGTAGAAATGCGTTAAGCTTCAAGAACCATTCACAAGGGTTATTGCGCCTTGTACAATTTGCAAACATCATAGGGTCTATCTTTATTAATAAATCTTTGAGGTTGAGACATATGTACATCATCTTGAAGTTCCCTATTCAGAACATCATTATGAACATCAATTTGTCGAATAGTTCATTGGTATTAAACTTCAAGGGAGAGTATAAATTGAATAGTGGTTGGTTTAATAACAAGGTTACAAGTCTCAAAATAATCAATTCCATAAGGCTTGGTCAAAACCCCAAGCCACAACGAGCTTTATCACGTTCAATAATCTAACCACTTGGCTTGAGCTTTATTTTAACCTTTTTGTAAATTTATATGCATTTCCATAATCAATTTTGTCTCCTTTAAATTAACAGTTCCTTTATTGTTTATATCGAATTTGATAAAAGAGCGTTAAAAGGCAAACATAAAATGTTTCAATAAATTCCAGCGATTAACAAGAATGAAAATAAAAATTATTGACACAAGTATTTATAGTGTAGCCTATAAAAGACCTAGATCTATTTGAAAATCTTAATACCTATGCGAGTCGATATTATTATCAATAGAGATCAATATATACAATATAGCCATTCAATCATAAACAAAATCAACTATCTATGAGAACCAATAATTTGTGCAAGGATGCTCCAATGATAATTCTTGAAAGAATAAGAGGAGCAACTAAACTTGAACAAAAAAGATTCTATCCAAAAGAAAATTCAGATGTAAGACAAGAGAAATACAACCTTTAATGAGATCCACACGAAACCCATGATCGAGTCTAAGAGATCACCAAATAATGTTTATCCTCGGCTTCCCAGCCCGTCAACGGTAGTGACGTCATTTTCCCTCGTCTATCGACAATAGTGGTGACGTGCAATGGTGATCGCGCCGACATGTGGCGACGGTGACGACTACGAGCGGCGGCAATGGCTACATGTGGCTGCAGCGTCAACCTTCTTTCTCTATACTTTCTACAAACTCACTTTCTCAAGGTGGATGGCTGATTTTCTTCTTAAAACTAGGGTTTGAAAAAACCATAACAATCTATTCATAATAAGTGTGTTTATGCAGGAATTTGCACAACGGTTCTTCAGGAATCAAGCTCGAACCCGGTCTCCGATTCCGACCTGAACACTAGAGTGGACCTGCACAAGAGGGTAAGCACTCCGACGCTCAAGTCAGTATAGATCGGACTCCTTATTTAGTTCGAGGTGAGATTCGATACCTGAGCGTGAAATGAAGCCCTCTATTTATAGGTGACGGATCCGACAGCATACACGACCGGCGGTTACAAAAATGTAGAAGACTTTGAATAAAGGGAAACATGAGTAATGGCTACGTACAATACACGGTAATAAAATATAGCCACAAGTTTTGTAATTTATACAGATGTCCGAATTTGTACTCTTGAAAATTATAGGAGTAATTTTCCATTTTTACCACTAGCCACATCCACTATCCCTAGCTTCATGGAGACTGTCACTTGCGTCATTTGACAATTTTACCCCACCCACA